GCCGGCTGTAACCGAGCTGCCCGACCAGGTAACATGTTCTCTTGCCTGTTTCCACATAATAGCTCGATTTGGATATAGCATCACATGAAAGCATTTTTTTTCCCATTAACATCATTAAGTCGATCATACGTACATCTAACTTCTGTCAGAGTTGAGATATTCCAAGTCAATACTGATTGGCATCGTGAACATTTTTGTAATACATTCACAAAGTTTTCCTTTGTCCTGCATTTTAACTCAACGACAGACTTCACCAGCACAACTTCTGAGTCCTTCTGTGTCCACCTAAACTTAAATATTCGCAACTCAGCGACCCATTCTTGACAGTTTACAGACTCCATTCAGCAAAAAGCACCAATGGGCGCAAAGTCACCACTCGTCTTATGATCGAGGAACTCTGGGTCAATTTACCAAACACGAAGGCTTTCCAAAAGTATGGCACTTTCTGGGGGATTAGCATACATACGCATTCCTGAAGAATTTGAGTCGTAGTCCTATGAACAGAGGGGACATTGTAATATGCTATAGGGAAAACCAGACCCACAAAAAAAGGTCTTTGTTCCATGAGAAATCCGGAAAAAGAAAAAAAAATCAGTCATCTTGTAAAAACAGAGCTCTCTTGGGAGGCCAAGTCAAGTTAATCAGGGCAAAGCAGGCACAAGACATGTGATAATGGTTACCATCTGTTCTGAAATCACTCTTTTGATGGCATTTTATTGAATTACCGAAATAATATATCGTCAAACAACCTGCTGTTGCTTTTATTTTTACCCTGAAGTGCTTCCAGATAGTATACAGTCATATCTCAGCCTTTGTGACCGAAGCTTTCCCAGGAGTGGCAAAAAAAAAAAATGTCGCGTTCATATCTCTGTTAGCTGACTGACAATGTGTTAATGTGGAAGAAACCACTGACACTTAAAGTGGATCTTGTTAATCAAATGGTGATATGTTCATAATGACTGACATTTTTACTTGCTGCCATCTCACGTTCCTCCAACAACAAACGTGAGAATCTACAGCCACAGCCTTGAAGCAGCTTTTTAGAGCCTGACAAGAAAATCTTGCTTGAGTTATCAAACACACAATCATGGAAGTTGGAATTATATCTTCTATCGCTATTCTATACTGTTTCAAACCAACATCAACACAACATATCCCCATCCATAATCGGCGTTTAAAAAAAAGCTGATTCGTCACGCTGCCTTCGATTTGAATTTTACAAATATGTCGCCGCCTCCAGATGTGCCCATCAAAGTTGAGTCCCCAACGAGAGAAAAGGCTTTCATAATACGAAAAAATAACACGTGTGTGAATTTTTTCGTAAAAAAATTGTGCACAAAACACATGAACGCAATGACAAGTCATTCTTGAGCACGAGGAGATTTCTCATCGCGTTTTTGAATAAATAAGGCAAAGCAAAACCTTGTTGGTCTGTCTCAGTCCCACTACCTTGCACGGCAGCTGTCACAGTTGATTCATTCATGTTTGCTGCTGCTTGTGATGCAGGTGGAGATGCGTCGACAAATTGTCGTCTTTTATTTCACTCGCCATTTGCAATGGCTATACTCGGCAACTGTCTTTTCAAGACGACCTCCTTTCGTGCTAAATCCAAAGTGTTTCCGCACAGGTTGATTGATTCAGGTTGATTGAACGCTCTAGTCTAAATTGTTCCTCTGTGTGATTGTGAGCACGAATGGTTGTTCGTCTCTGTGTCCCCTGCGATTGGCTGGCAACCAGTTTAGGGTGTTGCCAAAAGACAAATGGGATAGGCTCCGTCACGCCCTTGACCCTCATGAGGATAAATGGTTCAGATAAGGATGGATGAAATTGCTTTGAGTGAGGAGAAACCAGCCAGGTGACCATCCATTTAATTTGGTGATCTTGCACAACGCCGTTCAAGTGACCGATGGACAATCTTCAACGGATCAATGTAAGCACTTTTCCAGTTAAAGTGGCCTGGGAGAATGCTTGGCGTGCTGTGTGTCACAGCTCCTTCGAGTCGACCATGGGAGGAATAGTGAAGGGTGGAATCTTTTCCACACAGCAGTACTTGAACACACAGATGAGATCTCATCACCACAGTAGGTAAACTCTGAATGTATTATCCATCCACCCATCCATCATCTGAACTAATTTATCCTCACGAGGGCGTGCTGAAACCAATCCCAGCTGAAACCTGAACTGGTTGCGAGACAATTGCAAGTCACACATAGACAATTTGGAGTGTTCGATTTCCTTCACGTGCATGTTTTTGGCATGTGGGAGGAAACCAGAGTACCCGTAGAAAACCCACGCAGGCACAGGGACAACATGCAAACTCCACACAGGAAAGTCCGGAATCGGACCCACGACCTCTGCACTGTGAGGCGGACATCCTAACCAGTCAACACACAATGTTGCTTCATATATTTCAACAATCAATTAAATAAAGTAATGGTGGCGCAATAACAAAAGTGGAAGTGCAAACGTGCAGTGGTGAACATAAAAAAGAGAAGAATGCTGTTGTGCGAGCAGGTTATGTGAAATGTGGTGAATTTCTCTGATGCGGAATCATCCTTCCTGACAACCTCGATGTCTTTCAGACACTACATAAAAAAAGTAAAATATTTTGAAGAGATGAGATACGTGAGGAATCACGTTGCGACGTTATGCAGTCATTGAAATAAATTGTCGCCCTCTCAATTATAACTGATTTGAATCATGAGGTGGTGAGAGATTCGTTCTGCAACTGTTGATGAAATGTGCCGATTCCAACAGGATGTGTGTGTGTGTGGGGGGGGGGGGGTGCTTGTTGCAATCTCATGACAAAAAATTTCAGGCGGGTAAAAGAAGTACCACATCATTATTCTCCGAGACCTGAACGTGACAAAGGTCATCCCGAGTGTTGCTTCTGCAGCAAGAGATTCGCTGGAGCAACTGATTCAGGAGCAACAGCATGCTGATTGAACACCAAGCTGGGCTGATACAACATAAGCCTTCACCCAGATGGTGATTTCACATTTCACTTTGGCTGATAAGTTCTGAGAAGTCAGCAGATGCAAAAAAAATAAAAATAAACAGTAACATGGAGGTAAACAGTCATGAAAACGTTTTATAATGGAAACCGCTAACGGATCGTTCTGGTGGATGTTCGACTTGTTTACATGACTGTGTTGTTTTGGACCCTGCAAGCATATCGTGAACGGTTTTTGTTCAATGGAAGAGTCGTTGGGATAACCAATTCTAAAAGGATTCGACAGACAGCCCGAATATGTATTTACCAGGCAAGTGGAATAAGATGATTTAGTGTACAGAACACATCTCAGCTCAACTACATTTTATTCATAGAGCACTTGTTTTAAAATATATATATATATACTATACCTGCTCCACATAAAAATGGACATAAGACAGAGTAAATAAGTATAATAATTAGATGTCTATTCGAGTATTTTTTTACATGTTCAATAAACAAATTGTGTTTTTGAACAATCTCTGATAAACACAAAACAGATTTCCATCAAAATTGCAAGACTTAATAGCATGATCAAGTATCGGTACTCGGTATCAACGAGTACACAAATGTAAGTAGAGTACTTGTACTCGGACAACGTCTGAAGACAGTGGTGTTGCTGCATCCCTAATCGCTTTGTGTTTGAATGGTGATCATTTTAAAGACGGCGTCTCTACCTACAACTTTACAAAATGCAAAGAAAAATGATGTTTTGTTTTGTTTTGGGGTTTTTTTTACAAGATAAAGGTGCCCAGATACCAACTTTGGTTAACGTTTCATAAGTGGCTTTCAGATTTTTTTAATGCACTAGAAGAGTGTGTGTACATGCTCATGAGGTGAAGACTCTGTAACTTCCACTAACAACCCAGACTAAATTTACAGTATCTCCTCCACAACATACAAAGCTCGTCTCTCAGTCAAGATATATCACTTCAACCTACTTCCTTGACACATACTACTTTCCTACATAAACATGGGTTTGGCGGCATATTGTGGCCTTCTAAGGCGTTTCAGAAAGTGCAAAAAAAAAAACAGTGAATAGTGTTCAAGACAGATTTAAATGACCATCCAAAAGCAACACAGCACTGATAATTTGCTGTTTGACATTATCGATTTTCCTTTTCTTCACCTCAAGAAGATCACAAGCTTTAACCTCCGTAACACGCTGATGTGCAGTCAATTCACAAACTCGCTGGGTGGGTTGACTTCCACGGTTTCACACAAACAGGGTGATCGTGTCTGAGCCGTGGGACAGCGGGAGGGAGGTGCACCGCCTGCAGCAAATACATGCAGCCCTGCAAGCCCCCTCCACCCTGAATGACGTTCAGTCTTGATTAGGGAATTCTCACGCCACTACGACCGGAACCAATTGTTTTTGTCCTCAATAATCCCACTCGTGTTCACGATCCACATGGATCTGCAATGCGTAGCCAACACGAGGCCTGCTAATCATAACAATAAAAAAATGAACGTTTTTGTTCCGTTTAAACCGAAAAATAACAACAAACTACATTAAAGAGCAATAATAGGATTTGTGCAAATGTACTAATGTCGGTAAACAAAAATTAGGGTTTTTTTTTGTTTTTTTAAGCGATCTCATTATTTATTTAAAGCGGCTAAAAGGCGACGCGATGCAGTCAAAGGCTAAAAATAGACGAATAACAGAACACAGAAAAAGGGTCGTTTCGTTGTCTTGATAAATATGAAAATAAATAAATAAAATCAGCCCAGATGTTTGAAAGCGCAACACGGGACAGAAGCGGTGTTTTAGTGTGAAAGAAAGGCCGTGACGGAGTGCTTTAGATCCAGCATCGCTGTTTGCACTTGCTGCGACTCGATCGGGCAGCTGAGCAGCCCAGAACAGGTTCCTCCTCCGTAAGCATCCCTCCTTGCTGTAACCTTCTCCGGCTAAGAAACCAGCCTGGTGGGTCTCACCACTGTCATAAAGCCCCATCCGACATGTCCACACAGAGCAAACATTGCGCCATATAAATCCGAGCTTAGTTACCTTTAGCCGCATCCAGCGCGGACACCAGCACCAGGACCAGTAGGACGACGGATGCCAAGAGTTTATTCCTTCGGAAGCGCATCCCGACTTCGAGTTCAGCCGCGAAAAAAATGAACACACACGCCCTTCTTGTTCTGTTTCTCGTTGCACTTTTCTCGACAGTCGGGCGGAGGGCTTAGTTTACAGGAAAAAAGAAAAAACGAGCAATGGATGAATACGCGGTGTTGACGGTAGCTCTAAAATGGCCGTCTGCAATCCCTTCAATCGCCGCTTCTCTCGCAGGTTTGCATTTTGCTGCATTCAATGACGGCTGCAATCTGTGGGACGTTCGCAATTGTGCTGTTTTGGCAGGTAAAAAATAAGCATGTCACAGTTCTCCTCGTTATGTATACAGTAATAACGTACTTGTGAATACATATCACATTTTCTTTTTTTCTTTGGATATCCTTACCTTTTTGTTTGTACTCAATACTGAATGGAATCAGGAGAAATAATAAGAGGCAGGAAAAGTATTAAAGTAGAACTACAAATACTTATTCCCTACTCCCCAATCACATTACAGTACAGCGATTTTTATACAGTGCGTCAGTCAAATTCAGTTTTTAAACACAAAGTCAACTGGTGCACATTCATTCATAAATGTTGAAAAAAAACCGTAATAATTTGTAATCCTGTATATTATTTTAAAATGAGTGTAGTTTACAAAATTGAACAAACAAAGTACTGCATGTCGATCTAAGTTGCTGTGTGTTTCTAATCTTAAACTATGTTAAAGATTTTTTTGCGCCACAACTCACAAATTGGTGGAGTGCACCCAGCCCTTTAGGAGTGGTCGCTCGGAGGTAACGCGGAGTACCTGAAGGCAACACGAGTCCGTGGCTGTATCGTGACGTCACAACTGTTATTGTGGGAGCGCATGCGGCTGGTTTGGCTGAGACGCTAATCTGAGACCAACTCGGGTGGAGGAGACCAATAAATGTCTTATGATGTCACTCAGGGCCCGGGAGGCCAAATAGATACTTTCACAGAGATCAAGTTAATGTGAAGAGAGAGACCGCTTTGAATGCAGCACACGGGAAAATAACACAGACATGCACAAAATGGTGTCACATCTTGATGTACTGTACTGTATAACACAGGATATTTTGTGGAAACTGAAAGATTCAAGTCGTATTTTTTAATCTGAACAGGATCCTGAAACATCCATCACCCTGTCTTGGAAAATGCATCTTTTGAAATATACATTCCTCAATTTTCAACACTGTTTATCCTGAACAGGGTCGCCGGAGAGTGCTGGAGCCGATCCCACCTGACTGCAGGCGAAAGGGAGACGATACCCTGAACTGGTCGCCACCCGGTCGCAGTGCAGATATACAGACAAAGCAACCATTCACACCCACATATACACTGTCAATGAGTGGGAACCGATCCCATGCTGTCCGCACACAAACCGAGCGAGTGTACCACTATAACGTCAGCGGCACTGACGTTATAGTGGTACACTCACTGAAGATGTAATTCTTTTTTGGATTAAACCATTCCGGCATATGACCCCTATGTGACTTCTATTGAAAGGTTGCATCCTTTACATACTAAAGATGCTCTCAATAGTATAGCTGCTCAATGTGTACATAAAGATACACTGCAGAAATAAAATTGATCCATAAAGGTCAGTCGTTAGACCTCAGCTTGAATGACTGCAATCACAGAGAAATAATCAAGAATGGACGCATTTGTGTGTTGCCACAATTAACTGAGGAGTGCATAGCAACAGACTGTGGCCATCAGGGTAGAGTCGAGAAGACAATTGTGTGTTTGTTTCCACTTTGGCAAGACATGAAGTGTCTGGGACAAAGTGAAAGCAACCTCCACCCCTCACCCCATCCTCGCAGATGCAGAGGAGGGGAGGGAATGGACAGAGTGGCCATTATCATTCCTGTGAGGATACAAAGGGCTCTGGCAACAGGAGGGCTTGAGGCATAGGTGTGAGTCATCAGGGAAGGATCAGAAAAGTGCCACTTCCTTCAAGATACCTCACACCTACTGTGAGGGTTTAGGACTTTTGTCATGTCTCTTGTTTCCATTGTCTTGAATTTGTTGTCAGTCGTTGTCCCATCCTGCCACGCAAACCTAAAATCGAATAAAACCACAGAGGAATTGTTATGAAAAGACCCACAAATGCTTCTTACTTTAAGAGTAATAATAAAAATGTATCTTTTTTTCATGATTTTCATATGGTTCTCAGAAAATATAAAAGTGTCAATGGCCCTTGATTGGAAATTTATTGTTAATTACGTCCCTCTAAATGTACTGGAAAAGCGAGGAAAAGATTTCTGCCACGTGCAACCAGAATGAAAACAAGAGAGCTGTTCCTTGTTACAGATACTCAACCGGCAGACTAAGGAAAATATCAGCAACTGATGTCAGGAATATTGTGACTGCTGTTAATAAAAAAAAAACCTAGAACCACCATTAGTGACATCAGCAACGACCTCCACAGGGCACGAGTGAAGCTATCACAAACTGCTGTTTGCAGAAAACCTCAGACTTTACATTTAATCGACATTTATTACAAAAGCTAATTAACAGAGGGACAAAGGAACAATACACTTTTTTTTTCATTGTAAAATGACTTTATTGACTCCCTGTGCTGGGGCTGTCCCAGATGTCTTCAGGCAGTAGGCGGGGTACACCCTGAACTGGTTGCCAGCCAATCACAGGGCACACTTAGACCATTCGCTCTCAGTCACACCCAGGAACAATTTAGAGGGTTCAATTAACCTGCTTTGCATGTTTTTGGAATGCTGAAGGAAACCGGAGTACCCGGAGAAAACCCACACAGGCACGAGGAGAACATCCAAACTCGACACAGGAAGGCCGGAGCCGGAATCGAATCCTGCATCTTTGCACTGTGAGGCCGACGTGCTACCCATTCGACCATCGTGGAATTTTTTTAAATACTGAAAAAGAAAACAAGTATCAGCAAATCATTTAGTCTGAATGCGTCCATCCAAAACCGCATGAGAAATGACAGTTAATCCACTGATAGAAACGGAACCAGTTGAACAAATAATTAAATGCCTATTTCCTTGCGATGGCCGGTTGTTAATGGCACGTTCAGTCTGCAGTCGAGACATTAAACAGGAAACAGAATGCACAAAGAAGTGCGGTTTCACGGTCACAGGCAGATTGATTTGCATGATTGCAAAGTCATTTGGACACTGTCTGCTGCCAGATAGGCAGCGCAATGCTGATATCAGCTCCTGAAGATTTTAGCTCGAGATGCGTTATTTCCATCCTGTTTGTACTCCAGGCACCAACTTCAACATCCAGACTGAGATGGCCGCACATACTCGAAAATAAGGTACAACAAAGGCATCATGTTATATCTCAAAAGCATGCGACAGAAATAATGACACTCCAAAAAAAGTTACTGCCAGTATTAATTTTTTTTCTTCATCTTTTTCTTTCTTTTTTTGAAACATTTATTTTTAGTGACACACTACATATGACAAAGGAAATGTTCATATTTGTATGGTAAGTCTTGCTCATAAATGAATTTTCAAGTAAAATGGCCCTGAAGAGCTAGCAGACATTTATGTGAAGTTCTTTCAGAGAAAACCTAAAGGCCAGTGCGTCTGGCTGTCTGTGCCCGTGGCAACAAATCACACAGCGAGTGGAAAGTCCCGCACCTTTGAGCTGCTTTTGCCGTCTAAATCAAACAGCATCTCCACCTGGGAGAACTTTTAAACTTATCCTCTGTGATTGATTTGCCTCCGCTTGATCTATCGCACATCCTTGGCTTCGCTGCTGGCCATGTATTAACCTCCAGGCGCCATCATTGCCCTTTAAGTTTTCTTTTTCTTTGACTGAACTTGCCTGTATTTCTGTCATGTTTTTTGTAGATTGCTGACACTGATAAAATACCCACACGCAATAGCCAGAACATTATGTACCGCCGCACAATCTGATGGTGATTTCAATTCAAGAGCTGCACCGCCCCCCCCTCCAAAAAAAAAAAAATAATAATAATGATCTGCCCTTGTAAAGATAGCGTTGCTCAGTTTACATTAGAAGGTATTGATATAAGAATTCGTTAAAAATTTCAGGTGTAATATTTTGCGCTACCAGCTAAAAAAAATGTAACAAAACACTTAAAATATCCCAAACCACAATAAAGACAAAGTGTATGACATAGAACTTAAATGGTCTTGAAAAAAAGGTTAAAAACAAAACAAATTAACATATAAATCCATTTAAGTGGAATTTCTCTCCTGCTCTTAACATTCCTTTTCGTCATTCATGTTTCTTGTTATCAACTAAAACAATACTGTTCATCTGGAACAATATTATACAGTACGGTATCAGATTATATGAGCAGCAACAACACTGTTCCAATTACTGAGACCTGCTCTCTATTTATGTTTACAATCGCTCAAAAGTAAAAAAGGAGTAGCCCTTTACAGACATTACTACCAAGAGAGCGTAGCTAGCTCTTTAGCTTAGCTGACTAAGCTAGCTAATCATTTTGGTTAACATGCTAACAACAGAATTAAACGCCATCGTTTTAGGTGCATTGCTAAAAAGTGGGCCTGTTGATATTTGAATGATTCAACTGACTCATTGACCATGATTTCATTTTAAAGAACCGTTTTTTTGAAGAAAAAAAAAGTATTCAGCACCGCACTTGCACACTGAGCAAAAGATAGCAAAATGCCCCACCGAAAATGATTTTTGCTTCTTAATGTTCCCAAGCTTTCACCTAAATTAGTGCGAGCAGTCAACCGTGTCAGCTGACTCTCAGGCCCTATTGTTAGTGACAAAAGGCCAAGCTATGAGTGGGAGAATCTGACAGATGGGGGTTTCATCAGCTCACAAAGTTGGGCCCTCCACAGTGCTCAAGGAGTCTTCGCTCAGTGCCGAGGCTGCACCTTTAGCACAATCGCATCCATATTCATGATACAGAAGCTTAATCGGGAGCTGTTTGTATTCATCGCCAAGAGTCAACCGTCTGAGGAAAACGTCACAATTTGCCAGCTGTGTGTGGCACATTCCCCCAGATGGGCATCAAGTTGCTTTGAGTAATGCAGGTGCCGTGAATAAAACCTGACCTCTTCTCTGACATACCACAACGAGGGTTCACTGAGAGGGTCAAGCCGGTGTCAAATTCTCACCTCTTTGGCTTTATTGCCTCAAAGGCTTTAAAGGAGGAAGGAGGAAGGAGGGGTACTGTGACGCGGCTGTCACAGCGAAGGCAATAATTCATTT